TGTGAGCTAGAGGGTTCAGCTCAGGTTTTGATAGGTCTACGGTTGTTTTATGTTGTTTTGATAGGTCCAAGGTTGTTTGTTTTCGAAATGTGATGCATGTGCTGAAGCTCGTCCCTGTCGCCCGATAAATTGGAGCTATGACAGCTTCAAGCCTGAAAGGACTCAAAGAGACAGAGAGAGAGAGAGAGAGATATATATATATATATATATATAATTAGCTATGTGGATGTGGGTGGGGGAGAAAGGTTCTTGAATTTCGGACAAAGTTTAGGGACATGTCACGTTCAAAAGCTGTTCAACCTGTTGCTGCTGTGCCAACTGCCGTGGCGATGTGGTGTGCAGCCTTTTGGCCAACATGATCCCTTCTTTATCGGGTCCTTCAGGGAGCGGGGCTTCTGGGGGGAAATTAGGTACCTAGGCAACCTGAGGGATGGGGAGTATTAGGGAGCCTTGGGTTGCATACCCCGCTTGAACTTCCCCTCTCTCTTAAGAACCCTAGAACTTTTGGAATGCATCTGGATATTGTTCCTGGTGTGGTGTCATGATGTCTAAAGAATCTGCATATACATGGACGTGGCTCTTGACTGCCCAACTGATGTCCTGGATTGGTCTTCTTCATAGCGTTGGTCTTATCCTTTTAAGACCTGAGGCCGTTTAAGCCCTAGGGCCTACACACTCAACACCTCGAAACCTTAAACCCCCAAAACCTATAGCCTTTGACTCCAACACCCACGAAACAAAGATATTGAGCCGCTGGGTTGTTCAGTCGTAGCCCAGCTTCCAGACGCAATTCATGCGCGAGGGATGGGGTGGGGGGGGGGGGGGGTATCAGAAGGAATCAGAAGGGACTTTTTTCATTACCACTCAAAGACTTAAGTTCGAGAATCGACATTCTTCATCTCAAAACTGGCCGCTGGATCAACATGTCCTGTCGTAGTTGCCTTCCTTGTGGAGACGGGGGTCACATGTACTGGGACTGCGACACAAGCAACAGCCAGCAAAGGAACTATCCGTTCGTGTGCTCAGCGCCAGAGGTCCTCAGGGCATGTGGTCAGGGGCCAGGAGACGTTTTGAGTTGAGAGCTTAAGGATCAGAATTGGGGAGATAGTGAGCTCTCCGGAAGGCTCATCGTTTCAGTTCTTCACACTGCAGAGTACTTAGTGCTGTGACATGCTGTGACATGCTGTGACAACCTTCCATGTTGTTGAAGAATGTTCTGCCCAAGCCAACAGCTCCTCAGCAATCCGGAACTTTTCTCTACAAGCTTGCGGAAATGTGTGGATGAGCATTCTTCTTCCTTGCTTGGTAAGAGCGTCGCTGGGCTCAAGCGAACTGTCTAAGTTCGACAGAGTCGCAGTCGCTAGAAGGCGTTAAGACTCAAGAGTGAAGGCTTCCCAACGCCAAGCAGACGGGCCAGCAGAGGCATGAGAATTTGTACCGACAGCAAGTACAGTACCTAGCAACAATCGCCAGCATGCCATTCAACCCTGAGCGCCCAAACCCAGTATGCCTGCGCCCAATGCTCCCTCGTCCAGAAATCGCATGGTCAGAACAAGTGCCACAGGGCCTCTGCTTATTCTGTTTCTGCAGCAGAAATTTCCTGCCTCCCATGCTTTTGGAGCATGGCTTTTCAACATGCCCCTGCGCACAGCGAGAGCCAGGCAAAGTCGTTCATGGACGTGCCGAATCTTCGGGAATTTCAGGGTTCTAGGTTTTACGATTGTAGGGCTTAGAGGGGGTTTGGGGTTCAAGACTTGTGGGTTTTGGAGCTCAGAAGAGACGTTAAGGACAGGGCTCAGGGTTGACCTCTTCCGACCTCTTCAGCTACATGACATGTTGTAAAGATGGCGATGCTGGGCAGGACCTTGCTATTTTGCATCTTATTGGGTTAAAGAGGATCCTGTTTAATAATTGTATTCAGAGAGTTCAAGGGGCCAACCTGGGATAGTAGCCGCGATTTGTCGGACCCTTACAGGAAGGGCCAGCCTTATGATGTCGGACTGATTGGATTGGGTTGGCCAGAGCTGCCCCCGTCACATTGAAGGGTTTAGGGTTTGCCGAACCCATGCGCCCTCAACATGTTTGCAGGCTGCACTGATGCGTTTAGGTCTGAGCCAGCGCCAGCGCAATCCTCGAGTATGCCCGGCGAGATTTGTAAGCCCGAAACCCTGTCAACCTAACCCGCCTGACCCCGAAGCCTCCGCCCGACTCCCTCTAACCCTAAGCCCTGAACCCCAAGTCCATGAGCGTTGGGCAGATCGCGGCGCGCAGGGGTTCGGCCCAGCTGCGCCGGCTGGAGGCGACTGAGTGTGGTCTTTGCGGGTTTTGGGGTTTTGGGGGGGTTTTGGGGTTATTGGGGGTTTTGGGTGTTGTGGGGTTTTTGGGGGTTTTAGGGGTGTTGGTCGTCCAATAGAGGACACGGTAAGAGTGCCTTGTGCACGAACTGTTACACTATGAGCTCACTGGCGTGTAGGCAGGATGACACGCCGCATGCCAGTATGTACCAAATTGCGCACCCTGGATCACGCAAATCCTGCTAACGAAGATCTCAACCGATGCCCCGCATGCCTTACGAAAAAGATGCCTGAAATGCACCTTGAGTTATCATGGTTTTCTGTTTAATGCTCGAACCCTAACCCCTGTCTTTCGGGAGAAGAGTTCCTCTGGGTAAAGTAGGGTTTTCGGTGCTCAGGCCTTGCAAGAACGGCAGCTAGTCAACGAGCGCCGCTTGAAGAAAGCCATCGAGGACCTGCAACTGTTTCCATCCTTATGGCAATCGAAGCCGTGTCCATGTTGCAAAAGTGGCTTTCCGCTTTCCTCTAATCGAAAATCATGGCTGTCCCATTCGATGGTGCTTGATGCGAGGTTTTAAGTCGTGCATCCGCCTTTAACACCGTGGTTCTAGCATCCTGATCATTGGTTTCACGGCATGTTTCTGCCCACCTTGAACCCCCGGTGTCTAATTCGGTCCCAGGTCCTAGGTGGTAAGTGCTAGGTACTTGGTAGCAAGGAAGTTTCCCTTTAAGGAATCTCCTAAGATATGCCAAGGGCTTAGCCATCAAAAGCTGGCTGGCGCTTAGGGCCTTTATGGATATAAGGATCAATGACTAGTAGATATCGCTTCGTTTTTCGCGAATCGCTTCCAAGGACCAGTAGGTTCATACGACTAAGACATTACCAGGCTCCCATCAGCATCGGCACTTTGAGCTTCAGGGTTCAAGGGCTTGAGGCTTTAAGGCTAAGGGTTTTGAGCTTCAGGGTTGAAGGGCCAGTAGGGACTCACTTGCTTTTGTTTGTTTGATTGTTTTCAGGGCTGTAGCTCAGCACAGTCTGTATCCGCAAATCTCCGGCATTGCCAGAAGATGTCGAGGGTTTGGGTGTCAGGGCTTAGGAGCGCACGCTGCGTGAAGGACGCGAACAGCGAACTCGCCCTCGTGCAGAAAAGCCGCTTAGCAGATGTCCGTGCTGTGAGTCAGCTCAACCAGGCTACAGACTTGGGCAGGGGTGTTTCAGAGTGTTACATAGCTTTTCAAGAACATCGAGAACTGTCGCAGGCTTGGGATACTTGCTCTCGGTGTGTTTAGGAATGCGTCTCGTCAAGAATCTGCTGGCAGCCCATGCAACGTTTGAGCCCTGAATCCGAAGCCGCTCACTTTGGTGGATTTCACGCATAGCACCGAAAATCCGCCGGGCTTGGCCTGACGCTACTTTTGGGTTCGCCGGCTTCACAGGCTTTGGGCCCTTTGGGGCTTTTTTTGGGCGGCAGTTGGGGTGTTAGGGTCTTAGGGGTTTACGGTAGGGTTCTGGGGTTCAGGGTCCTCCTGGGCTCAGGGTCCTCTGGAGCACCTCCCCTTTGTTCGGCGCCTAGCTTGCTGCAGCTGAGGGCGCAAAGAGAAAGCGGAATCCACCGAAGCAGAGATTCCCGGCAGAATTGATTTGGGCGGGGGGGGGGTTGTTTGAAGTTTGGGTCCCTTATAATCATGTATTGGTGGGATGTCATAAAGAGAGGGAACCTCCCTCGCAAGAAGAACCTAACTGCTTGCAAGCCCCAGATATGGAGCCCGAAGCCTACCCGTTTCTTGCGGGCCCTGAATTGCAGGTACCTAGAGGAGTCTAGTGCAGGGTAGGTGCGGCGCCGAGCCTAGATTCCGACTCAAGCTAGGAACTGCACGCATTTGCCGGCTCTTCTGAAGTGACCCTCGGGTTCTTGATGATGGGGCGTGTGAAAGAGCTTGCACGATTCGGGTCGTAGGTTGTCTAGATGCTTATTGCTACCCCAAAGCCAGAACCAGAACTAAGGACATAGATGAACCCTACACTCTGTTGAGAGGGGCATCTGCAAAACGAAGCCCAAAACGCCCTTAAAACTCCTTAACCCCCCAAATACTAATTCGTTGACACCCCCAATACCTTGAAAATCCCCAAGCCTAGATGCTCCACTGTGCCTCTCTCCAAAGTACCTAACATCCTTTCGGGGCTTATGCCCTTTTTTGGATCCCATAGTCCTGTCTGTGGGAAGGCTTTACCTCAGATTACAACTGCTTCAGCACTGTTGAAAAGGATGCTGCGTCTCACAGTGAGCCTGCAGAAATCCCTGGCCGACCGCCATGTGCTGGAGGCCAGGTTTGTTTTCAGAGGGGCTAGAAGCTTGCAACATTGTCTACACCTCACTGTACATATGAAGGCAATCCGTGGCATGCGCAAGCAACACGAGTGGAGCTCTGATGCTTAGACCTCAACCTAAACCGCCGGAGTGCCACAACCTTCCAGTCCATGTGAACAGCTTCACGAAGCAAGGTAGCAGCACTTATGCATGAGTAGCAGGGCTCAACCCCACCCCCCACCCCCTCCCCGATGAAGCCCCAGCTGCCAAAACCACCATCCAAGCGAACCCTAAACCCCATCACAGCTGCTATGTGTGCCTGTAAACCATGAACCCCTCAACAGTATCCCTGTTGTCCCAAATTAGCCCCTGGACCCAGAAACAGGCCCACGCTTTCATGGGTCAGGTTCTTGGGACATAGCCCTCATTGGAGCAGAAACACCGAAGTCCTCTACCACCCTGAGGCCAAGCTCCAGGAGCTGCGCCCGGCGGCGGCGAGGCTGGCGGCGCAGCGCCTGGAAAAGGAAGAGGCGGCAGAGGCAGCCTTCACTGCTTAACTCTCGCCTTGCAGAAGTAAGTCTCCACCCCCCCCTCCCCCCCCCCACCCCAGGTATAAGTATTGGGGGGCTACTTTGTAAGGGGGGTGGAATTGTTGTTTCGGTCACCCCACTGCGTTCTCAAAAAGTGCTTGAAAGAGCTCAGCCTTTAGTGTACGTAACAAGGACTTGTTTACATGTTTACATGCAGGTCTGTGGAGGGAAAGAATTCCCTATTCAATACCCTAGACCCCACAAACCCGAGCCCACATTACGACAGACCCTCGAGCGAGAGCTTCGATCGACGGCTGAAGCGTCTCGGCCTGCGCTGGGTTTTTTCAGGGATCCAAGGCCCGAAAACCCAACACTCCTCTGCCTCTTCCTTTGCCCTGAAATCCCTCACTCGTGATCGTATGCCACAACAATCCCCTAAAGCCTGTAAACCCTGGTAGTCCCAAACCCCTGAAGTCGAAACCCGACTTTAGAACGTTCGGGTTGAGGGTAGTCAGTATGGAGGGCGACAGTCTTAAACGAAGCCAGGATTGTCAGGCTTCGGGTGTGCGTTTTGTATGGCTTCTACTCTTGCTTCCTTTCTTACCTGTAGAATTCGACGTATAGCCTTTGCACCTTCAAGCAGGGGGCTTCGCGTCTTGGACCCCAGCAGAAAGTCTCGGGCCTTGCTCTTCATGTGGGTCCCCAACTACCTGACTTTTTGTTATTGTATTATCGTTGTTTGTTATCTTTTTGCTTTGTTTTTTCGGGCGGGGCGGGAGGGGGGGGGAGGTTTCAGGCTGCGAAGTTGAAAGGTTTGGGCTTTGTTGTTTTGGGGTTCAGAGTGGTTTGGGGTTTTTGGCTGGTTTCTGAAGTAGCGCATCCAAATCCCGAGGTTTAGTAGTGCCCTTCTTCCCTTTTGGGGGCTCAGGTTCCCTTATATCAACCCCTTGAAGCAAAAAGGGGGGGGGGGGGGGGGCCCTTTTTAGTGAAGCCCCCCCTGCAGGAACTGGCGGAGGGCCAGCGTCGGCTTGCCGCCGCATACTCGGAGAAGGAATCTCGGAGCTTCTGGGGGTGCGATTGCCGGGATATGCGTATGATATATGGTGCGCTCTAGAGGGTTTCAAGGGTTCATGGCCTCCGGCTCTGGTTTCAGAGTTGGGGTGAAGGATTTCGGGCTCGCGGGTAGATGCTAATACCGAAACTACCCTAAACCCTAAACCCGAAACCCTTTCACTTTGGCCTCCGAAGCCCTTCAGGAGCAACTGCTCGTGCTTCTGCAGGAGCAGAGGGGAACTCTACAGCGCTTGGCGCAGGCTGCCCTTGGGAGGGCTAAAGGTTCAGCGGACTCTGGGGTTTATTCGGGCATTGTAGGGTTTACGAGAACATTCTACGGTTTCAGGCGGATTCTAGGGCTTGGGGGGAGGGGGGGGGGCTTGGGAGAAGGGGAGGGCGGGTGTATATGATCTGATGTACGGTTCATTTTTGAGTGGATACAGGCGTGTAGGGCATGAGGGTTTGGGGCTTAGGAGTTTGCGGCTTATTAGGGGATTCAGGTTGCCCCTTGGACCACAAGTTGCGGAGGAGGTGGCAGCGTAGTGGGGCCTCAACAAGATATGTCCAAGTTCTTCTGCACGTTGGCTTTAGGACTTAGAGAACCTACAACTCATCAGCCCAAAGCCTAGCGGGCCTTTTTTGGCTTTGGGGCTGTCATGCTCTTGGCAAAAGAAACCAACAGGGGAACCCGAAAATCCTGAAAAAGCTGTAGTCCCTCTGACTCAGATCCCGAAACCCTGAGCCCAGGAAGCCGCACGAGATGTGGCCGAAGCAGATGCCATGGAGGCCACCCCATCTTGTGGTTCGCGGTTCGGGCTGCAGGGTTTACGGGTTTTGTAGGGTTAGTCTTTACAGGAAGCTGCGCTTCGCGATGGAGCCCTGTTCAATTTAGAAGGAGGCACCCGAACAAGGGGTCCCTGAGTTGGAACAACCTCTGCGTTTTCGCTACTAAGTCCTGGACCATGGGACCATGTGAAGTCCTAGATGATTGTGCGCTTGCTTTGGTTTCTGTTTTAAGTATCATGAACGATGATGCAATGTCGTAGACAGAGGCTGAGGTCGCCAGATTCGAAGGTGAGACAAGAAAACTCAGAAGAGTTAGCTGTAGCAAGCTGTAGCAGACTGCAGCTCAAGCATTTCAGAGTAGCATCTGCCTGAACCCCTAGGCAAGAATCCCACACCCGAAAAGTTCAAAACTTCGCAGCCCTACAGCCCTTACGAGCCCAAAAGATTTCGTCTCGTAAGCCTCAAACCTCTACACACCCTCAAGCCTTGCAGCGAGCTCAAAGCATCAATAACCCCACCCTGCACCCTATACACCCTGTGCAGACTCTGAACCGTAGAATTCATGAACCCTTAGCCCTCAAACCCTGATTGCCTCCTGAGGCGGAGGCGCAGGAGCTGAGGGCCCGAGCTGCCGCCGAGGCGCGCTACGAGCTGGCCGCTTGGCTTGGATAGGGCTTTGTATGGCTTATAAAATTGCAGGGGGGTGCTTGAGGTTCAGGGTGCATGTGGTTCAGGGTTTTGCGGGTGGAGTTTAAGGAGTTCTTAGAAGGGCTTCGCGTTCGGGGCTGTTGAGTTCAAAGGGGACTTCTGTTTCCCAGAATGTATCATAACAACGCAGCTCCGAAGTTGAGACCGTTGCCCGCCCCCACCATGACCTCGTGCAGCCCAACCCTTGCTGACGCCCTTCGGAGCCCGAACATCCGAAGGCCCTGAAGCGCGCGTATCTTGAAGTCTTGGGGTTTCAGGTTTTTTCGAAGTTTCATGGGTACATACCTTGGTTTGCATTGTAGGCGACTGTAAGTAGGGTTTAGGGTTTGAAGGCCTGGTACCGGGCTCCAGCTAGTTAAGCCAAGGATCTCAGCCGGGCCGAGATGATGCGACGGCGCTCTCTCGTGCGCAGAGCCCGCGCCCTACATCCAACCTGCGAGGGTTCTTAACGATGACACAGGGACTCGTCGCAGGGTCTCTAGGATACGTAAGGGTTAGGGCCTCGACAAGAAGGCGCCAGGTCTGGGACGCTGATTTGCAGGAGCAAAACCATAAGTCAAAGAATGCAGGATATCCTCCCCCCCAGGTAGGCTAGTTCAATTTGTAGGGTAGCTCGTGACTTGTGACAGCCCCTAAGCCCAGAGGACATAGACGGAACAGGCTGTGGCACTCAGCAATCTCATGTTGGCATCAACATTGATTCAGGAGCTTAAGGCTTTAGCAGCTCAAGCTTGTCCGAGGCTTTTGGCACCTTCCGAGCACATGTTGAGAGTCTTGGCCGCCTGTGCATCCAGAAGGTTCAGGGGCTTCGTGTCTACGCTTCCTCATAGCTACCGAAGTTCCTGCCCTGCTACCAGCCCCATTTTTTAAGGTACATACTGGCGAACTACAGCTACAGCGACAGCGCCGCATACAAAAAACGTGATTCCCCTTCATACAGAAATATAACCCCACACTGAAGGCACCCTGAACTTCTTGATGTATTTCTGTTTTCATAAATCCTTTATTGCCGGGCCCGAGGTAAGCCCCAAACTAAACTCAGACACTCAGTGGGCTGGAATTCTTAATCTAGTTTGAAGGTATTGAAAACGAGATGAGGGGCTGCATTTTGCTTTTGTTGCGAAAACGAGCGGTATCACGTGGGGCAATCCTCATGCAGACGTGCGCCAAATGCAAGCAGCGCCAGGTTTCTGCCTCGTGGCTATTTTAACAATGCTGGCGATGAAAGGCAGTACACACGTATCCCCTAAATCCTCAACCCTTATCCCTAAACCCTAAGCCCTAAACCCTAAACCCCAAACCCGAAACCCTAAACCCTAAACCCTAAACCCTAAACCCTAAACCCTAAACCCTAAACCCTAAACCCTAAACCCTAAACCCTAAACCCAAACCCTAAACTGCTCACAGCACCTCAGGGCCGTCAAATTTGCTGCCAGCTTGAGCCAAAGCGCACTTCAACGCTGAGTCAATGACCTCACCGATTGGGATCTATAGGTTTCAGATTCTCAGCCAACCGTACTACTGAGATTTTCTGTAGTTGAAGAGAACGAGCTCCTCATACCAATTCCATTTGGGCCGGGGCTTGGTCCCAAAAACCTTGATTTCAGATGCTGTTGGGCCTCCTCGAAGTGGGATTTCAAGATGCGCCCCGCGTTCTCTTCGTTTCAAGAAAAATGAGGCCCTCACTTTCTGACTTTCCATGTGGGGACAGGCCTTGGCCCCCAAAACCCTGGATTGCTTGATCTGGCGACTGTAGATTCAACCCTGAATTTCTGAGTTCCTACGACCTGAGGCCCCTTGAAACAAGAAAGTTCGGCCCAAAAGCTGAGGGTATCCGGGAGTTCTCTTTTGTTTTCGCAATTGCGCGTTCTTTTGTGCACTTTGGGCCATCGGCTTTCAACCGAGCCCCTCATCAGTGTTTTCGTAAGCAACGCTGTCTCTGTACAATTAAGCGTCTAGGAAGGGTTTGTAAAGATGACAGTCAATCTTATCGGCTTGCTGTTTCGGAAGTGTGCGTCTTACTTAGAAGTGGCACTGGCACCCGATTTTTGTTCGGAACATTAAACTTGCGGAGTGTAGTTTCCAGCCCCAAAGGAAAGGTACCTGAAAAAGGCAAGGGCGAGAAGCCTCCGCAGGTAAGATGCAGATTCATTTAGTCTTGGGCCACATCCGGGCCAAACGAGAGCAGCGTCGGGTTTCGCAGTTCCTCTTGTTGACTTGTGAGCAACTATCCCATGAAGATGTGAGGGCTGTCTTTTGAGACCCAAATCTAAACCGTCTTGGCGGATTGGTCAGGGAGGGCTTGAGGAAATTCCGGGACCAACCCTACACCCTATCAACCCTGAACCTGAGTTCTGCTGAGGGCCATCAAGCGCGAGCGGCAGCGGCAGCAACGGCGACGGATGCTGTGGTGCCTCGCAGTGCATTGATGGGTCTGGGTTTGCGGGGGTGGAGGGTGTGGGTTCCAGCTGGTACGTAAAAAGCCAACACAAGCTTAATTTTTGAGTTTCCGTCATATAGTCATACAGGGTTAACAAACTCAAAGTTTGACTTGTTTTTCGGAGAATAGACACGTAGTTTGATGGTCGTCGCGACCTCCACCTAGTACAAACCTATTGACCCTGAAAGCCAGCCAAGCCCCCCCAAATTCTGACCACACTGACAGATACATGACTTGGAGCCTCTATCCGACGCTATCTAAGGCGCGAGCTAAAAACCCGAAAAACCCTCCATCCGCCTGGCCCTTCCCAATACTACGTAGTTACTTTGAAGGCTGTATGTGAGGAATGTGTATATTACGGTGGTCGAAACCTGATGATCTTGTGGGTAGTAATATAGGCTTTCATAGGGCTTGGGACTTCATCGGGTTCAACAGAATCCTGGCATCCGAGGCTGCAGAAGATGATGCCAGGCATGCTCTCCACTTGGCGGCGACATGCGAAGGCTTCGGCTACTGCTCTCTTCGGCAATTCCGAGTGCCATTAGGGTTTATGGGGTTTGGGGTTTAGGGTTCAACTCAGCTTCAGCTGCAGGCTTGCACCAAGCCGGGGCTCTGCAAGACAGGTCAACTCCTGAGAGCTTCTAAGAACCGATGTTACAGCCAGACGCAATGGAGGCCTTGGCACAGCAGCGGCAGCGCAGCGTCGTCGCTGCGCGCCGCACTCGGGAGGTCTGAGAAGCAGGGCACTGTGTCAAACGTTGTTTTCTTTGTTCTGCTACTTGGCTGTTCACCAGCTTGTTTATTGGAAGATTGCCATTCGTATGTGCTTGCGAAACTTTAGGCTGGCGTCATGACTGCAAAGCCTTCCCAAATAGCTTCCAACCCCAACCACCCTCCCCCCAAACCCCCATAAACTCGACAGTAAGGGTGGGTTTGGGGATGCAAGTAACACATCTTGCGCCCTGAAGGTGGTGCTCGGCGCATGGCGCCGGGCCCTGGTCGAGGCGCAAACTACAGGGGCAGACAGGATAGGTTCGGCACAATTACCCCCGTTCCTATAGATACCCCCGGGCATCTTAGTGGTTTTTTGTGGCCCTGAAAAGGCGCGCTTCCAGCGCCGCCACGCGCCGGCAGCGGAGGCGCTCTCGCGCCGGCGCTTGCAGAGGCCCTCAGTTTGGGGGATTGGGGAGGGGGTTGGGTTGGGGGAGGTTTTGCGGGGGTAGGTCTTCCTCCCCCAAACTAGTGCTGTTCGTGTGGGCTCCTACATTAAGAAGTCAAGGTAGATGAAGGTCCTTATACTTTTGGGTTGCATATTTGGGGGGAGGGGGTAGAAGGGTCTTGCATGTCTTGGGTTTGGGGTGTAGGGGTCTCTGCAGGCGCAGCTTCCGCGACTTCCGAAAAGCTCTTGCAGCAAGGAGGGCGCAGGAGCTGGTCATGGCTTCCAGGTCCCAGGTTCCTTTCGCTATAAATCACTACACCCTCGAAAGCCTGGCCACTTGCAATAAATGGTGGCTATGTGCAGGAGCATTCCTTGGCTAGTTGGGGTTATGGCCACATACCGGCAAGCTTTGTGAGTTGTCCGGTCAGGGTGCCCTGAGTTCCTAGGAGCTCTGGCCATGTCGCCGGCGTCTTCTGTCGAAGCTACTGCGCGAGTGGCTTGAGGCATCGGACCTTGCGGCAGGGGAATAATGAAGACCAGCAACATCCTACAACACGAAGTCAATGGGCGGGCCCTGGGGCTTGTGTGAAGCATCAGGTGGGCAGTAAGGTAAGCAAGTGCACTGACCGGCCTTCCCTGACATGTCTCATGCCCAGAAATCCCTACAGGCCCTAGGCCCTAAACCCTACGAAAGACCCTAAGCCGAAGCCTCAAGCCCTCTCGAGCCCAAAACGTTAAACCCTGAGACTCCCTCTGAAGGCACCCCAAAGCCTTGACTTTCCAACCAGAAAGGAGCATATATCTATGTATACATATATTAATATTTGTAAATATGTAAATATGTAACTACACAAAAAATAAATAGATAAAAAATATATGTATATATATATATATGTAAAAAAACCCCTGACTGAAATTGCGCATTTGGGGGGGTGAAGGATGGACATGATACTTTGTGCGGTAACCGCACGGGATCACTTTTTGGGTCCGAGGGACACACTGGGATCATTTGAGTGCAGCCTCGTTCCAAGTGCCTCTGGGCAACTAAAGCCTGCAAGCCCTAACCCTAAACCCTATAAACCCTAAACCCTAAACCCTGAACTCTAAACCCTAAACCCTAAACCCTAAACCCCAGCTCGGCGTCGCGGCCGCCGCGGAGCGACTCCGTCTCCGCTGGGCTGCACGGCGAGCGGCACGCCGGCAGCTGCGAGGCATCTGGGGGCCTGGTAGGAATCCTGATATATGTGGAGGTGTATACAAAATCGAAACGAAACTGACAAATGAACAAGTAAGATCAAGTAAGTAGACGCTACATATATATATATATATATATATATGTATATACATATATATCTAACTGGACATAGATAGAATCCATAGACCCAGGTGATGTTGGCCCTCTGTCTGGGGATTGGACCCCCTCCAGGGGAAGCGCAGGGGCGATGATGCTGATGATGTTGGCCCATCTGCTGGGGATTGGCCCCCCTCCAGGGGACGCGCAGGGGCGATGATGCTGTTGACCTCCTGTCTGGGGTTCCTGCCCTTGCCGGTGAAGCGAAAGAGCGATGATGCTGATGATGTTGGCCCCTCTGCCTGCGCCAGGTGAAGCACAGGGGCGATGATGTTCATGATGTTGGCCCTCTGTCTGGGCAGCAAGTGAAGCGAAGGGGCGATGATGCGGATGATGTTGACCCTCAGCCTCAGCTCCAGTTGAAGCGCAGGGGCGATGATGCTCATGATGTTGACCCTCTGCCGCGGGATTGCCCCCGCCAGGTGAAGCACACGGGCGATGATGCTGATGATGTTGGCCGTCTGCCTGCGGATTGGACCCTCTCCAGGGGAAGCCCAGGGGCGATGATGCTGATGATGTTGGCCTTCTGCCTGGGGATTGGCCCCCCTCCAGGGGACGCGCAGGGGCGATGATGCTGTTGACCTCCTGTCTGAGGTTCCTGCCCTTGCCGGTGAAGCGAAAGAGCGATGATGCTGATGATGTTGGCCCCTCTGCCTGCGCCGGGTGAAGCACAGGGGCGATGATGTTCATGATGTTGGCCCTCTGTCTGGGCAGCAAGTGAAGCGAAGGGGCGATGATGCGGATGATGTTGACCCTCAGCCTCAGCTCCAGTTGAAGCGCAGGGGCGATGATGCTCATGATGTTGACCCTCTGCCGCGGGATTGCCCCCGCCAGGTGAAGCACAGGGACGATGATGCTGATGATGTTGGCCGTCTGCCTGCGGATTGGACCCCTCCAGGGGAAGCGCAGGGGCGATGATGCTGATGATGTTGGCCCTCTGCCTGGGGATTGGCCCCCCGCCAGGTGAGCACAGGGGCGATGATGCTGGTGATGTTGACCTCTTGTCTGGGGGTTCCTGCCCTTGCCGGTGAAGCGAAAGAGCGATGATGCTGATGTTGGCCCCTCTGCCTGCGCCAGGTGAAGCACAGGGGCGATGATGTTCATGATGTTGGCCCTCTGTCTGGGCAGCAAGTGAAGCGAAGGGGCGATGATGCGGATGATGTTGACCCTCAGCCTCAGCTCAGTTGAAGCGCAGGGGCGATGATGCTCATGATGTTGACCCTCTGCCGCGGGATTGCCCCCGCCAGGTGAAGCACAGGGACGATGATGCTGATGATGTTGGCCGTCTGCCTGCGGATTGGACCCCTCCAGGGGAAGCGCAGGGGCGATGATGCTGATGATGTTGGCCCTCTGCCTGGGGATTGGCCCCCCGCCAGGTGAGCACAGGGGCGATGATGCTGGTGATGTTGACCTCTTGTCTGGGGTTCCTGCCCTTGCCGGTGAAGCGAAAGAGCGATGATGCTGATGTTGGCCCCTCTGCCTGCGCCAGGTGAAGCACAGGGGCGATGATGTTCATGATGTTGGCCCTCTGTCTGGGCAGCAAGTGAAGCGAAGGGGCGATGATGCGGATGATGTTGACCCTCAGCCTCAGCTCAGTTGAAGCGCAGGGGCGATGATGCTCATGATGTTGACCCTCTGCCGCGGGATTGCCCCCGCCAGGTGAAGCACAGGGACGATGATGCTGATGATGTTGGCCGTCTGCCTGCGGATTGGACCCCTCCAGGGGAAGCGCAGGGGCGATGATGCTGATGATGTTGGCCCTCTGCCTGGGGATTGGCCCCCCGCCAGGTGAGCACAGGGGCGATGATGCTGGTGATGTTGACCTCTTGTCTGGGGGTTCCTGCCCTTGCCGGTGAAGCGAAAGAGCGATGATGCTGATGTTGGCCCCTCTGCCTGCGCCAGGTGAAGCACAGGGGCGATGATGTTCATGATGTTGGCCCTCTGTCTGGGCAGCAAGTGAAGCGAAGGGGCGATGATGCGGATGATGTTGACCCTCAGCCTCAGCTCAGTTGAAGCGCAGGGGCGATGATGCTCATGATGCCGCGGGATTGCCCCCCGCCAGGTGAAGCACAGGGGTGATGATGCTGACGATGTTGGCCCTCTGTCTGGGCAGAAAGTGGGGCTATGATGCTGATGATGTTGGCCCTCAGCCTGGGCTCCAGTTGAAGCGCAGGGGCGATGATGCTGGTGATGTTAGCCCCCTGTCCGGGGTTTGTGCCCTTGCCGTTGAAGCGAAGGAGCGATGATGCTGATGATGTTGGCCCTCTGCCTGGGGATTGCCCCTCGCCAGGTGAAGCACAGGGTCGATGATGCTGATGATGTCGGTCTGCCTAGTGGCTGGGCCCCCACATGAAGCGCAGGGGCGATGATGCAGATGATGTTGGCCCTTGGCCCCCGACCCCCCTGTGGCGATGATGCTGATGATGGATGTTGACCCTCTGCAAGCGGATCAAGCGCAGGGGCCATGATGCTTTGGGTTTTTGCAGTTGAAGCGAAGGGGCGATGATGCCGATGTTGGCCCTCCACCTGGGGATTGGGTTTGCATGTGAAGGGCAGGGGCGATGATGCTGGGCTGAAGCGCGACCTCCAGGTGAAGTGCAGGGACGATGATGCTGATGATGTTGCCCCTGCACCTTTTCTCCAGGTGAAACGCACGGGTGCTGGTGCCTCTACCCGAGGATGCAGATGCTCCAGGTAGGTGATGATGCTGATATTGGAGTACTGATGCGGATGCTGATGCTGTTGGCCGGCCTTCTCAATGAGCGGGGAGCGGGAGGTATGATCTCAAGACTCAAGTCGACAGAGCCCTAAAGTTTAAGCACCTGACTCTGCAATGTTCCTCCAGACAGGAGCCTTCAGCGCTTGGAGGTGCGCCACAGCAACTTTCGCACAGCGACGGCGCAGGCGATGAAGCAGAGCGAAAATGCAGGGGTTCTGCCTAGTCTCTACCCATAATAGTTGTTAATAGTCATAAACGGATGCAGCAACGAACTCTCCGAGCACCGATCCGCCATCCATGGGCAGTTCTCGAAAATGGCGTCCCTTCTTGGAACCTCATACAAATGTACATATCCACGTTTGCATACGAACACCCCCCCAAAAACCCTATAAACCTATTGCCATCAAGTTCTGGAAAGGATGCAGGCGGCGATTGTGGCGCACCGGCGGGCGACTTTGCTCAGGAACTGGCGCCGCGGACACAATCGGGGACCCGCTCTCCTTTTTGTAGTTACTGGCCCTAAACTACCCTGATAGGGACTACAGAGCAGTTCTGCGAAGAGCACAAACCATGCCCCTCAATTCTGCCCTCCCCCCAGATTTAATCCCTACTGCCCTAGTGCAACTGTAACGCAAAACCTTCCGAAGCCCTGAAGCTTTCGGGTCCAAAGTGCACTTCCCTTACGAGCCTTAAGCCCGTGCCAGAGCTCTCACTGACCCCAGGTACAAGGTCGCCCGGCGGAAGCGGCTAAGCGACTTGGCGAAACAAAACCTGTATAAGGTCCTTGGGTATAGCGAGACGTAGCGTTAGCGTCCCTTAAGTACCGGACGTTATGTTATATCATTAGGTAAGGACAATGACCCTGAGTACTGGAACGAATTCTGTCGTAGAATTCTATATCCCTTCTCGCAGTCGTAGCGCTTGTAGATCTTCAACTATCATGCAGAAGGTCGTGTTCAAATCGAGGTCTTTTCATCTCAGCATGCACCTTTGTCTGGGTTTGTTGGAGGGGCTTCGGGGTTTTGGGGATTGTGCATATGAGCTCGCCCTGCAACGTTCATGTCTCCAGGTGCTATGCCGCTCTACTTTGGCGGGACTCGCCGCTGGTGGATGCGCCGGGTGCGCCCAAACTAGTCGAACAGCACCCTATATACAGACAGAGGAATTTCCCTGCATGGGCCAAATTTGACAAGGACAGCTTTAATGGCAAACTCAGCACCCAAGCGTGGCAAAGCAAAGTGGCATGTACACCCTCTTTGAGCACCTTTGTGGCAGGTATTCCGCGCGCTTTGCATCCACAACCTTTCTGTTCAATACCATCGATTTCGTCAGAGCCGAAGTGGCGCAGCGGAGATTTAGTCTGCAGGCATGCATACACTTGCACGATGTATCACAGTTTTGTTTCTCATATACATATATATATATTATATGTTTATATTTATATTATATTCTATTATATTATATTATATATATGCTGCGAGGCTTTGGGCTCAGCAAACTCCCCAAGGCCTCCGGCGTTGCTTCAATGCGCTAGAGGCCTGGGCCAAGGGCCTTCGCCGCTTCAAGGCCTGTATATATATATATATATGTATGCATGTATATATATATATACATATATATATACATATATATATATATATATATTTATTTAAAAATATATTCTATAGTCGATACTCTTGTATATAGCTACTATAGTAAACGATATAGATGTAGGATCCTTTGGTACCCTTTAGGGTTTTGCAAGCTTTTTGCGACTGTAAGGGCTGGCTTGAAAAGTCTGTATGGTCTTGGGGGTTCCTTGCAACTTTGGTTGGGAGCATCTTCTTCTGCTTATCAAAACAAGAAGCCCCGTGATGCTGTCGTGGAGGGGCCCCGCACGGGGAAGAAGTTGCCATTCGTCCATCTCAATCTTCGCAACAGGTGCGTGAGTTCGTCGGTTCTTGCTTCGATGTTGTACTGAAGCGACAGCGTCAAGAGGAGCATGCGTGTGATCCCGTTGGCATGTCGCACAGATACTAGACAAGCTGAGACGCCATTGGATCGCAGCTTCACGCATGCCTATGTCGATTTGAACCATCTGGCTGACCTAGTACAGTCGTTCGGTGGATGACAACAAAAACATTCCAATTTGGGTCAAGATCAACTTCATCAACCCCAGCACGCACCTCCAGTATGTTGCAGCCCAAAACCACACTCGACAACTACAATGGTACCATATCAGGGAATTCAGCTGGGTTGTAAATATGAGAACTTGGTATGCAAGTCCTTTGACTATATACATATATATATATGTTATGTTATATTATATTATATTGTATTTTTGTGATATAATTTAATATTATGTTTATTTATCATATATTTTCATAAATAAAAAAAATATATATATAAATTATAGTTATTTAGTAAACCACAGGGGGGTGGCCCTGCATGTACACCACGGCCACTCGACAGCAGGCCCGGCGCGCGCTGCGCGAAGCCCGCGCGGCGCGTGCACTGGTGCGGCTCGCCACGGAGGGTTTAGGGTTTAGGGGTTTAGGGGTTTAGGGTTTAATTTACAGCTCCGGCCCATGAGTCTTGCTCCGGCATCAAGTTTCCCGGATACGCTGACGCCGCTGAGGATGTTAAGGCTGCTGCCGGCGTGGCGCCAGACTGCTGCAAAGTGCGCCCAGTGCCAGCTGAGCGTAAGAGAGGGTCATCCCCACACTCCAGATCTGCAGTGCATCACGCAGTTCCGTCGCTTGAAGGGTTTCTGCAGGAAAGCATAATTATCAAGCATGCTTGCCGTGCCCGCCACTTCTTGTGGGACCTTCTCTGTTCGAGATCGGTGCGCCCCATTTCCCTTGAAATCCAAAACCCCATACTCGCATTCTGACATGTAGGTAGCAGCAACTGAGGCTTGTTCTGAATTGAAACCTTTTTATAAGAAAACTCCTCATGGGGAGCCCAAATTCGTGGAACGTAAAAGGCTTTCTTGCCCTATGCTGCATAAAAACCCCCTAAACCATGAGCCTGCCTATAGGAATCCTACACATGAGAAGGTAATCTTCCCACAGAAACCCCGTTTCACTAGCAGCCTTTGCTGGAATTCTGCCCTTTCTGCCTGTCCCACATGGGAGGCTGGCGGTCCGGCGCCGAAATCACGCCGTGCTCCGCAGAGTCTTCACACAGAGGAGGTCGGAAGAGGGCTTGGGGCTCGTAGGGTTCGAAAATGTTCCAATGCTTTCTGGTTTTTGCGGGTTTTTTGGCTTGGGGCTTTCGGGGCTTAGTAGGGGTTTGGGCTTGGGGTTGGGGTTTCTTGGGGCTTGAGGTTTGAAAGGCTCCTCACCTCGAGTCTGGGGAGCCCGGAGTTTATGGCCATGCAAATGACCACAGAACTTGCTGCGCGCTTTTGGTTCCAGCTTGCATTAGCCTTAGCCTAGCCTTGGGGTACCTGCGAAGCACTGGCCTCCTATAAGCATTGAAGTATGACGCCTAGTGGATGCTCAAGTTCTCAGAACAAATAATGACATACACAAGCATATGCTCATATGATGCATGTAACATACAGTATATACACACAGACGTATGTCCATACTTATGTGTATTTCCATACAGACAAACACTGACAAACAGCTTATGAGTATGTGTATAAAAAGCTGAACGAATGCTATTCATGAACACGGGTAAACGTACTGCACCTCTGAGAAAGCATATAGCTGATCGCAGCGGTAGGCAACTGTCAGGATCCACATGGTTACCAGCTGCAAATGGCCATTACGCTGCATGTTGCCCTGCTCAGTGGCCAGACCACATCGGTGTCTGCGGAGCCGAACACCACTGCTGACGAGCTCCGACAGCTGGCTCAGACTCGCCTGGGGCTCGGCCTTGCCAGTCTGGTGGACAGTCGCGGCCGCGCGCTAAGCGGCGCCACTTCTGTGGCTGAGCTGGGCCTCGTGGATGGCGAGAGTTTGGGTGCGCTTCGGCGCCGAGCGCAGCTTGTTTCCGGGCGGTTTTCCAGAGCTTTTGCACTGCTCCGCAGCGATGGCACTGTGGTCACGTGGGGAGGCGGCTTCTTTGGTGGCAACAGCAATGGTGTTGAGTCTTTGCTGACGGATGTGCATTCGATTTTTGCTTCATCTGGCGCCTTTGCGGCGATCCTTTGCAATGGAGATGCCGTGACCTGGGGTGTTGCCTGCTGTGGTGGAGACAGTCGCACCGTTCGGCCGCTGCTCAGAGACGTCCGCCAGATTTATGCTCCTGGGGCCCAAGTACAGCAACAGGTACAAGGTAAACGAATTCTGGAGTTGCGTAGCATGAATACTCCATACATGCAGTGAATATTTTACATGTATATATATGTATATATCTACATATGCATGTCGGTGTGTGCATAAAGGGTTTTGTGTATCATATCAATACCTACGTGTATGTACAGACATATACATAAGCAAGGAGGTATATTCTGCATAGCCTTGCGAAATAATAGGATTTTTAATGTATAAAGAGAGAGAGAGAGAGAGAGAGAGAGAGAGAGGTAGGTAATGGAAGCCAAAGTGTTCAACATGCTTCGCCTCGCAGCAAACACCACAAAAACTAAGGCCACTCTCTATGCCTTCGCGGCGATCCGTGGAGACGGCAGCGTCATAACCTGGGGATCGCAGGAAAGTGGCGGTGACAGCCGCTTCTCTGAACTGGTGTAAAAGGCTTCGGTGCACTTGTCAGTACAGCGTTCCCGTGTGCGACTAGAATTCTCTCGAGGGCATGACAATGTCGGCACACTCATAGGCCAAACCCGCCATCCATGAATGAGTTCCTGCACATGTGATTGCTGGGTCAAGGCCTGTCAGTGCAGCCACTTCTGAAAGACGTGTGCCCAGGATGCAGATGAGGTTCGGTATCTCATGCTGTCAGTGAGGCCTTCCAGACCTTTCGTTGTGTACAACTGACAGGGGCTCCCCTCTGTGGAATAGCGGCGGCTGTCCTTGATTCCTGCTTTACGATGCGCAGTCTTGCTTTGTATGTATATATATATATGTATGTGTGTTTATATAATCGCTGACATCATGCCTTTGCTTTCAATGGCGCAACGCTTGCCTGGCATGGAGCTTCGCGAGTCCTTTAGTATCGAGGCGATCTATCCAGGCGACTGCGAAAGCTTTCGCCGCCCTCTGTGGTGATGGGAGCGTGGTGACCTGGGGCGTGGAAAAGTATGGTGGTAACAGCTGTGCCGTCCAGAAGCAGCTGAAGCAAGTGCGGGAGCTCCAGTCCACGACGGGCGCCTTTGCCGCCCTGCTTGAGGACTGGTTTGCTGTTCAGAACATTCAAAACGAAACTACCATACTCATCAAGGCACGCATTGTAAGTAAAATGGTGTCCCATGCAATCATGGTAAAGCTTAAGGAATTTTAGCAGCAACCCAGAGGATGGGAATGTGGTCACTTGGGGTCAACCAGACCGCGGGGGCGACAGCCACTTCCAGGCACCAAAGGATGTGCGCCTTGGGACTCAATGAATCACTGAACCCTTTATATTAAAAGGGCAATATATATATATATATATAATATGTGTATACATATGTGTATAAATATATACACACACACACACCTTCATCCGTCCCACGAAATGGACAACAGTAGTAGGAATGGTCGTAGTGAATATGCAGGATATAGTAGATATGTACAAAATATTCACATATGAGCACAGTTTTGAAGGTTCGTTTGGTTCCCAAGGCAGAGCATCGCAGCCTCGTCACATGCCTTTGCGGCGATCTCATCGAGCGGCTGCGTCGTGACTTGGGGAGAAAGGGCATGTGGGGGAGATAGCTCAATGGTGCAATCTCAGCTGGTGGACGTTCAGCACATCACGGCCTCTTCTGGAGCTTTCGCGGCGGTCAGGGGCGACGGTCATGTCGTGACCTGGGGCTCCCCAGACTGTGGTGGAGACAGCTCTTCAGTTCAAAGCCAGCTCACAAACGTCCAACAGATCCATGCATCGTCCACAGCCTTTGCAGCCTTACTGGCAGATGGCCGTGTCGTGACCTGGGGCTCCCAGGCAGATGGGGGAGATAGCCGGCTGGTTCAAGAACAACTCTGTGACGTTCAGCAGCTGTGTGCCTCCAGCGCTGCCTTTGCGGCCCTCCTGCAGGTCGGAGACGTCGTCACCTGGGGTCGGGCAAACTGCGGCGGGGATAGTAGTCGAGTCCAACTGCAGCTGGTGAATGTGGACGGGCTCCAGCAGGATTCCGGAGAGAGCCGCCTCAGTCGCCACAAGCGCCCGCGAGCCGTGTAACTTTACATGCCTCACCCCATGTGCATCACTTCAACAGGAAAAGGTCTACTGCCACTCGCCTTTCAGCTTCTAAGAAGCTAATTAGCAGCATCATGCTGATACTGCTTGTGGCTGTGCCACAAATGTGCACATAAACCATTCACGCGTCAAACCAAACCCTGAACCATTCAGGCGCTAAGCTCAAGTCCTTATAAAGTCTATATAAATACATAGCCCCCTTTCCTGGGCACATTCTGCCCAGAGGCACCCGATCCTCTCAATTGTCCAGTCCCTGAGCTACAGCCAGGCCTTAAGCATAGTTCGAGCCTTCATCGCCAGCATCCTACATGTTCCCGAGCTCGCTTACACCGTCTCCCTTGAACCTATATGAACTCCCCGCAAGCCCCCAAACCCCTATAATGGACCATGTACACCCTCTAGGCCCCAAACCATGCTGGGCGCTTGGGCTGTGCGAGGCTGCGCCAATGGCACCAGTGGAGCTGCCATCGACGCCGTGTCGCAGACTGGAAGGACCCGCAAATGCAGACTGACTGAGCAAGGTCGTGTCTTGTAGTGACAAGCTGAAGGGTTTGGGACTTTGGGATTAGTGTGGAGGGCTTGGCGGTCAGACTGCTCCTCACGGTAAGTGTGTGGTAGCATGGGGCCACAAACTTAGATTTGTAGCAGCGGGCGGTAGCCCATTGAAACTTCTCGCACAAAAAGGCTGGTTACTATGGTGTCCCCAATTCACATTGCACGGTGACATTTCGTTCACAGTTTGCAATTATGTCTCAGAAGATGAGACGCAGCCAAGCATGTTGGCATCCGCATGAGCGTTGGTCGGTTCTTGGCATGCCATTTAGCGGCACGAGCCCGTAAGTTATCAATATAAAGCCTTTATATGCAGCTGGTTATGGCGCTGTCCGACTCGGCCGCTTGCACCACGGGCACAGGCACTGCCTACAACTTCGATGCATCGACGCAGAGCCTGCAACTGGGTGGAGGACGTCAGTCAAAGGTCTACGCCTTCGGAGGGACCAGCCAGCTATGGTTTGAAGCCCAACCCATCCTGCAGTCCCTGGATCTCGGCGATGTTACCAGCGCGCTGGAGCAGTTGCGTAAGTGTGATAGGTCTTCACTGGAGAAGCTGATGGAGCACTTCGGGGCACCCATCGGAGCTTCCGACATGGCAGCAGGGGGACTCAGCGAAGTCTTCATCACAGAGGCTGGCATCTATGATGTCACAGCAGTCTCCACTCAACCAGGTGCTAAGGACTTCAAGTATCGCATGCTTGATGACATCCTGCCCTCCATTCGAGCCTGTGTGGTGCGGAAGACACTGTCGGACTCGAAGAGAAGTTCAGCAGTCCTCCAGCAGGGAGAGGATCAGGGGCATGGCAAGCGCCTGCGCACAGAGGAGCAGCAGCTGGCCATGATTCCGCAGCATCTCCACGAGCGGCTGGCTCTGATCCCGGAGTTGCAGCGTGAGGTGCAAGAGCTGCGCCAGCAAGTGGCCCATCTGCCGCAGCAGGTGACTTTCTACCAGTCCCAGCAGCTGAAAGACCTGCACGATGCAATGATGAGTCCCACCGGCAGCTTTGTGAGCGCTCTTCGGCATGTGATGCCCCGGGACACTACCAAGTATCCGGACGACCAGCATGCCACCCCGGAGCAATTACACCAGTGCGAAGATGTTGAGCAGGCCCTTCAGAATGAGCTGGCCCACACTTTGAGCTGTCGAGTGTGGACGACTGTGCGTGGGGCGCTTGGCAAGTCGCTCAAGCGGCAACGGCGCCTGGACGAGGCATGCGAGCAAAAGCTGCTCTGGGCGAATGAAAGCGAGCACGAGTGTACCGGGCAGCACTACGTGTACACACAGGCTCAGTTGCAGGAGTACCTGCCACGAGCTTTGGCCGTGGAGGTATTGGTGCAAGTGAGTGGCGCAGGCCACGTCGTCACCAGCTACAACCCGCACAACAACATGCAAGGGCGCCCTCGCAAAGCGAAGATGACGAGGCGAGCGTGGATTGAGCGGCTACTAGTCGAGGAGAAGCAGTGCGGCCTCGAACCTCTGGCTTGGCCCAAGAACCAGCGAAGTTTGCCCAACAGGCAGACTCAGGCATAGTAAGTGACTGACATATTTTCTGCTTTATTACGCAGTGAGCTCAGGGTGCCACAAACCCCCTGTACAGACTGTACAGATGCACCTCAGGATCACTGTCAGACCACCGATAAATGCGACATGCTGTGCGTGTTAAAGCTGCCTACAGGACGGTCCGACACTATACTTCATCAAGCCCTGTCTGCCCTTGACGTGTCCCGCAGACCCTGAGCTCTTCCCAGGACCAGCGCGTTGCTCAGCAGCGCCGGGCGACCCTTGCGCTGCTCTCCAGCACAGCGCACCTGACAGGTTGGAGGCAAGCGTGCATACGCATGGTTCCGACTGCTGTCGTACATTAAGACTACGGGGCCCCTGCACCCTGTGAAAACAGCCCTAATCCCTCATAAAGCCCAATAACACTTGCGCAGACTCATATAGAATGTAGAAGCCCCGCTTTCAAATCTCACCCCTCCATATTTAAACTCCTGAAGCTCCTGCAGAAGGCTAAAAATCCTGTTTATATACAGCTCATAACTTCCAAGCAGCCCCCTGCCCACCGCCTCCGCCCCCAACCTTTTTGGGAAAGGCGGGCGCGCCTTGCAGCCATGGACCGCCGGCGCCGTTTCCAAGAGCTCCGTGCTGTTTGGGGCGCTTGGCTGCGGCTCGGGCTCATCGAAGTCATAGGATAATTGGGACAGGTTTCCAGCGTTGTAGGACTGTGTTCATGGGGATCAGGATCGAAGTTTGTGGTGCCTGCTATCGGAGACAAAAGAGGCACGTGGATCCCCGTGGATCCATACCCTTCTGATTATGCTGTTCACGCTCTGTCGGGACCTGAATCACGTTGAGCATGTTGTTGGTAGGTATATGCCTCTGAAGCCTGCATTTCCAGAGCCTTTTGACGGCATCGCACAGCTCACCCTGCAGGTGTCCTAAATCTTGTCTACATAACATTCAAAAAATCACATTGTATATATGATAACAGATATACAAGTTGCACTCCGAACTCCTGCGTGGGCCGCACTCCGCCCAGGCGGTTCATCCTCGCCGCAGCGGAGCGCTGGAGGGTTGAGGCCGAGGTGCTAACGCGGCGGGCGGGAGTTTGGAAATCTTGGGGAGGGTCCAGAAGCCAGGGTCACGGACGAGCATGGGTTCAAGGTTTGAGCGGCTTGGTTCATGTGGGTTTCAGGAGTCTGTGTGCCGGGAAGGTCGAGATGGCTCCTTTCCTTAGGGTAACAACTGGCAGCACACTGTTATCTGTTCTTGTAACGAACAATTACACTTTTCAATAAAAAAAAATATATATATATATATATATATCTAGGGACCCATGTCTAATGCCACGTTTCCGGTGCAGCCTAGCCCCCGTATGTGCGCTCCAAATCCTCTCTCTGGACAGGAGGTGGCGCAGGCGGAGACAGAGCTGCGCCAGGTGGCGGAGCGGCACGCCGCCCTGGAGGATGGGGAGGTGTGTGTTCTATGCAAAGCCCTACTATTAGCTGCATCACCCCATAAACCCGATAAGCCCTACTATGTATAATATATATATATATATGTGTGTGTATATATATGTATGTATATAAGAGAGGTTTTAACGTACATATATACATACTGCCTTTTTTATCCTAAACCCCAGGCCCAGCAAGATCTCGGGTTGAGGCCGGCCACAGCTAGCCATGTCAATGTCAAAAGGGCTTGATATTTTGGTTGCAGTTTGGGCTTGGCTTCGGCGCCTGCACGCTGCGTGTGTTTCGGACCGTTGTTCTTAGTCCCTTGAGTGGAGGGAGCTTTGTCATTGCTCACAGCAGCTGCTTGGGTTTCGAATGACGCCAGCCTTGCAGGAGAGATGCCGTGCCTCTTCGATGATGAACGAGGACGACGACTCTGCAAATCAAAGCTAGCTTGCACGGGCCTGAAGGATCTAAGGAGTAAACAAGAACACCGAAAGGTCGCAAGCAGCTTGTGCAGCCTGTCTTACTGCGATTTGGGAGGCGCTCTCCTTGCCTCTGGAAGCAAAGGAATTGTGTCCGAAGGTGCTCAAGTGGCGCAGCACATTCTCATACCGTGCCCTGTATTGCAACAGCATGCCCTTGCAAGAATGTTCGACTCGTTGCAAGTGCAGGAGTTGAAGAGCGAGCTTTGCTCCGACCTCAGCACAACTGCTAGAAAGGTGCGTCACGTCCTGCATTTTCGCTTGCAAGACAGGTTCACATCTGGCACGATTTGTCATTGCTGACCAACTTCGAGATGCCAGCATCTGGCACACACTGACAACGAACAAATCGACCTTCCCCTTCTATCTTGAAGCATCAGTGAAAGTAGCATCGGCCCACACTCCGTCTGGCTTTCCGCGTGGAGGTCAGGCCAAAGATCGCCTGGCTCGCGAAGAGGAGGCGGGCAGTAAAGGGTCGAAACCCAAATTGAGGTTCATGGTGGATCAGACGTACTGTCAGTGAAGATTTGGATTGTTCACAGCCATTGCGGAGTCCTCCCCCTTTTGTCAGAAAGAATCCCCTTTTTTGTTGTTGCTTTTTCCCCTCTCTCTCTCTCTCTCTCTACAGGCTGCTGCGTCTATCGCCTCGGAGCGGGGGACTCTCCAGGCTCTCACGGGGCTGGGGTCTGCCATTCTACAGGCGGTTCCCATGACCTTGCATTGCAGGGACCTTCCTGCAATTGCACTCTTACATTCGTGTAGTTTTCAATCGGGCTTTGGGTGCAGCATAGTGAGCCGCAATAGTGAGTGGAGCACGTGAACAGCGGACATCGCAGCATGTTCGTGCCAGAATAGTATATATGTTCATGTCGCGGCCTTTCTATGCCGCTGATTCAGTCAGGCGTGGAGTCATCACCTCTTCTGCATGCGCTTATGTATATAAAATTATGCTCAGAACACCTTTGGATGATAAGACAATGCGCAGCAGGAAGCTCGTAGAGACGTAGTGTCGACGTAGTCGCGGCTTGAAGATTTGTAGAGTCTGGAGCTGGCAGGAGTCCGTTCTCCGAAGGCGGTCGGAATTGCAAGAGGACACCCGCACCCAGTGACTGCATTGCCTACAAAAATTCGAGGATTGGATCTGTGGGCCCTGTAGGTTTTCAATGCTTGGCAGCTACGCGTCTTGTTGGCTCTCGGGATCTTGTTCCATGTCAGGTAGAATAAAGGTACACGCTCCTGGGAACTTCTGGGTTTGGTCGATAGAAGTGCTCGGTGCACGCAGAGCCCCTCCAGAGCAGAGCACCCTGCGGTGGATAACCCCGATACCGAGACAGGAGCTTGCAGAAGCGCTGCGGGCGCCGGAAGAGCTGCGTGCAGCTTGCCGGCGTGCGGAGGAAGAGGTGATGACAGGGGGGACATGTCTTGAGTTTATATAGGCTTTCTTGTGGGGACATTTTATATTTTTTAGGAGTGGCTTGAATGTGGTGTTTGGAAACGGTGGGGAAGTGGTTGGGATGTGGGATGGTCTCAGACAACAGAAAGAGTGACCTGACACCATGAAGCCCTTCCGCCACGTTTGGCTTGCGTGCAGTGTCGGCATCTGTCACCATGACAGAACATACAGCATAGCCTCAACCCCAGCATGCATGTCGTGCCCGCTAGACGCACTTCTGAAGAGTCTACACGATGTGCTGAGCTTGCTGCAGGACAGCTGGCAAGTGTAGCAGCCTTGGGCCATGCGAGAAGTCCTGTGCAAACTGACACGGGGCTGACTCAGGATGGCGTTTCTGCCGCGTGTCGCTGCCAGTTGCCGTTCTTTGCCGCGGCAGCTTCCCGTGCAGCATGGCTGCCTTCACCCTGGGTGGTGCTTGCGCCGTCAGGCTTCCAGTCGGTTCAATGGCGTGTGGTGGCGGAAGGATCTCAAACGATTTGGAGCGGGTGTGTACTTCAACCGCAAAATGCGCTATCTAGGCTGCTTTGACTCTGAACACAGAGCTGCACTTGCATATGATCAAGGCTTGCGATCTCTTTGCCGCGATGAACGTCGGCTAAAGAAGTCTCTGAATTTTCCCAGTCCAGCGGAAGTGGAGTTTGTCGAATCGCCGCAGAAAGCTCGGAGTCGAGCTTTGGCGCAGTTTTCTCACATGGCAGTCAATGAGGAGGAGTCCTTTCGTCGATTGCACCACTATTTCCAGTCATCATCTTATTCATGGTCCTATGAAATCGCACGTGTTTCTGGATCTGCCAGAGCTGATGCTATTTTCCAGCCGATTGGAGCCCTTTCTGGCGGTGTTCAGTTGCAGGTCAAGTCTACTAGGTCCAGAGGTCCATCGGGCTGCACTTATAGCTTTCGTGGTACTAATGGATACGAAGGCATGGTCCTGGTTCTGATAGCTCTTGATCGCGATGTCCTGTGGGCAGTGCCAGGGAAGGTCGTGCCACAGAAGACTTTCAACATTACTTTGGGCTCAGACCGGGACCAAGCCTGGCGCACGTCTGATATCGGTGACACACTTAAGGGGCACTTCCAGTGTGTCGATGATTTCCCGCATGTTTCAGTTGACCAAGCCCGGCTGCAGTGCAGCACCACAAACAAGGTGGAAGAGCGGGCCCATGCCTCAATGGCTAAGTTGTTTGGGCATTTGGGTTTTCGGTTGAAGAAGTCCGTTCTGACCGGCTCCACAGTGGACTCGTGTCTTGAGTGGGGCGAGCACACGTGGCGTGTCCAAGAGAAAGCATCAAGCTTGCACACAAACGGGACTTACTCAGTCAATATTGGCCGGTGTGCAGGAGCACTGGGTCGCCAGCCATATATGACAACTGATTTTGACTTGCTTTTGGCTGCCGTCCTGGATGAGGGAAGTCTTGCTGGCATTTTTGTTGTGCCAATCGCTGTTCTAGCAGAACGCGGGGTAGTGGGCCAAAGGGCCGTGACATTGCGCTTTTGTCCGCCATGGGCCCGGGCCAGGGAAGCCACCAGGCTGAAGTATGCCTGGCAGCTGGAGCACTTTGTGGACCTGCGTGCCTGGACTGGCAAGCCCCTGCTGCCTGTTGAAGTTCGAGCTCGACTCACGGAACTTCTGAAAGACGCTGTAAAAGGAAGAGTGCGAAAGGCTTTGAGCCAGATGAGCCCTGCTGATATTGACGCAAGATGCACGGTATACGCCCCACATCCTAATTGCCCTTCCCCGTTCAGAAAAGCGTATACTGTACCACACCCTCATCAAATATAATTTTCTTTCATTCCCCTACACACCCCTTGGAAACCCCATGCAAGAAGCCCACGAAGCTCCTTTTGGAGGCCTCGGCCTTGGCGCGCTCGGAGCGCCTGGCGCTTCGCCGCGACGCGGCGCTGCAGGCGTCCCTCCGCGAGGGCGCGGAGGAGGTGCCGCCTTGAAGGGCTTTGAGGGCTCATGGGTTTTAAGGGTTTAGAGAGCTCATACTTGTAGGAATATAGGGCGCGTAATGAGGGCTGACGCGGTTTAAGGTTTATAGGTTTAAAGGATCTGAACCTGGGGGCAATGGACTTCGAGTGTGCTTATCTAGACAAGAGCTCAGGGTTTCGTTGCTTTGCGAGGGCTTGTAGCTGCACACTCGGTATGCCCGATCAGTAGTCGGACAGGTTCTGCGTGAGCAGGTGCAAGCCGGTTCTTGCTAAGACTTCTTCGATTCAGGCTTCGGGCTCTTCCGTTTGCAGTGCTTGAGTCGTAGGGTCGGTTCTCTGCTGAATGCCAGGCAGCGCGGCGATTGGAGGCTGGGGAAGGGATCGTGGACATGGGGATCTGGGGCCGTGGGTTCTGGGTAGGTTCCGTGTTACATCGTGTTCCAGGGCACCCAAGCAATGGTCGCCTAGATCCATACACAAGCCATAGCTAGTCTGTAGGGCTCAAGGCGATTGTGATGCATGGGGCTTTCACCTCCCAAGCTCCGTTCTGGGTCGTGCGCCAGGCTCAAGAACGGGAGGTACAACGACTGCGGCGGGGCCGTCGCTGGCCAAGCCGGATCCAGGGCCTGGCCATAATGAAGAGGTAGAGCAGGCAGACTCCAGGTAAAAACGGGGGGGGGGGGGGTTCGCCTGGGTTGTTAAAATTGAAGTCCAAGTCCCTTGGAATTTTGGCAAGAAGTGGATTGCTTTGGAATTCAAGGGAACATGACTTCGGGTTTTCTGTGGAGGTGGCCTCAGGATGGACTATGGTGAACCGGCTCATGGATGGCCCTGCCTCTAGTCACTAGTCGAATGCCCGTTAGCCGAGGCCAGTCAGACCTCTCCATTCAACTGCTGAGCTTCGAGGACTCCGTAGACCTCGCTCTGTCATACCAGGGATCCTAGCAGAGGGCAGTTCTCGACGATCTCGACAGTGCCCTTTGATTTCAAGTGCTGTTTCGATGCGAGGGACAGCCCGGAATGCCTGGAGATAACGAAGCATTTTGTTTTCAGCGATGTCTCAAGAAAGCCTGTGTATGGCTTGCAGTCCTTTAAGTTAGCTCACCTCTCTGCTGCGTGAGCTTGGCGAAGCCGCCATTGCTAATGACGTTCAGCGCGAGCGCTGCAAAGCATTATGTCTGGGAAGATGGTTGCTGATGGGCCATCGGACAACTCTGTGCCTCATTATGCCCTTAGGTGTGGTATAGTAGACCAAGTTGAAGCTGCGGAATTGTATTTAGCTCCACGGAGCATCAGCAAGAATGACAGCTCTGTCGCACGAGCGAGAAAAGAGTGACACAGATGTGGGGATCACTTGCTGCCCCCACGCCCCCCAATGAATGGCCCCCACGGTTTTCCACTATAAAGTAGAACTGACCTTGACATGGTTTGTCCTACAGCAACCTTGTGACTTTCCAGGGCCCCTCAAACACCAAAGTAAGCGTGCATCACAAGTGGCAACGCGCTTGCCAGTTGCAGAAGCTCTTCACCTCAGTGGCATTTACCTGCCTCGGCCAACCGCTTGGCATCGATGAGATGGACTGCAAATGGATCTAAAGTTTCAGGGCTTAGGGCATTAGAGGATTTACAGGGTTATCGTTTAGGGATAACCGGTCTTTAAAGGGCTTTAAGAAGTTTAGGATTTAGGATTTACACGGTTTTTTGGATGTTGGTTTTGCTTTCTGTGCCTGGGCTGAGCCTTCACTCTCAATTTGCGGGACTCCGCCGCGTCGTGGGAATCTCCTGGCGGGCGCCTACACCCTAAACCCTAAACCCTAAACCCTTAACCCTAAACCCTAAACTACAGCAAGGGGCGAGCGAAGGTTTTGTGCAAGGGTATACAGCTATTGCTCATCAACAGGACCGAGCCTGAGGAAGTTGTTCCCGCTTGCAACTTAACGATTGCCATAAATTGGCAGCAGAATTAGTAGCCCTGTTTTGAGGTATACTTCCTATCAGGGGAACATCCTAAGCTTCGTAATCTACCTACAGGCCGTCCAACCAACAGAGGTCCATGGAAACCTTAGAAAGAGCTCGCTAATGGAAGAGCTGGAACACCATTTTCGACTTCAGCAATACAAGCCCTAAGCTCCCATGTCACTTGATCCTTCGCTCCAAGCACTGAAGTTAGAACCCGAAATCAGATCTCAGACTGAAGCCGATAACCTATTTCTGCCCCGAGCCCCGTTATACTGAACCTCTAAGCCCGTAAGCCCTAAACTCCGATTGTTGTCAGCCCTAAACTCCCCTACATGAGTGGAAGCTCCTCCAAGCTCGCCACAAGAAGCCCCCGCCCCGGAGGACGCAGAGCAGCAGCTGAGATACCTCCAGAACTACAAGTTCAATGACCGCCTTGCATCCCTACTGAGCCCCTTGAAGCCCTATTCCCTATACATCCTAAGCCCTTCAACCCCGGAACCCTAGGCTTTGCAGGGGTGTGCAGAAGGCATGATTTGTTTGGGTGAGCCAAGGTTGCGGGTTAAGTCTTTGAGCCCTAAGCCCTACCCTAAACCCACATTGGGTTCAGGGACTGTCCCGTCATTCCTTGGCCGAGCAGGAATACTGTAACATCCCAACGCACCACTCATGTCCTGTGACCGCATCACCTCTCCCTGGAGCCAAAGCACTCTAAACCCTAGCACAACCCTTTCGACCCTTGTAGGCTCTGATCCCAAAACCCTAACCCTCCCGCACTCCCTGACACCAACTGACCCCATAAAAACTCTAAACAACTCTAAGCCCTCACAAGTCCGGGCCCCCAAACCCTAAACCCTGAAACATAAGCCCTGAACCCTAAAACCCAAATTCGGCCGACTCCGTGAGGAGCAGGACCACCAACTGCATCGCAACCAGCAGCTACAGGTCACCTTCTTTTATGGGTTCTTCTTTGTTTATGACATTGCATGACATATTAAGTTGTTAATTTATAAGGTTTACGGTTTAGGTTTGGTAATCACCAGCCATTTCGGTAGTGCGTAGGGAGGGAGTTCAACGCACTCTGGCAGAGGTGGCACGGAGCATTCTTCAACACATTTCGCCAGATTGAGTTGGGTCGTAGCTGAGAGCCGCGTCCGCGACCTGCTCCCTCAGCTGGATTGCCGCCACAGGTCGCCGCTCAACAGGCAGCAGTGGCGCATGCAGCACAGGCACCCAGTGGGAAAGCTTCCGGAGCCGGGGGGTCGATTGGTTGCCAACAAAGACTTAACCCTCGATCCCCTTTTATCTTGAGGACAAAGCCCCCCCATGATTGCACAGCGGGTGTATGGTGTATATCCTGCTGTCAGTCCTGGGAAACCGAAGCTGTTCCGTTCCTCCTTTCTCAAACGCAAAGAAATCCCCCGACCTTCACAAGTCGGTTACTGCCCTACAGCCCGAAAAAACCTAGGGACACTACGTGCTCCATGAATTTTGAGTAGCAACCCCAATCGCCAAGCCCAACCTTCTAATCCCAAGACCTGAAAAACGCCCTGCATCCGCGGACATGAACCTTGCCGCCCCAAAACCCCCGAACCCATCGTCCTCCCGAACGCCGATCTCGGCACCCTCTTGGGGAAGCAGGCGCATGCCCAGCATCAGCAGGTCCAGGCTCAGCGCATGGCTCAGGCACAGGCGGCTGGAGCGGTAGAGATGTTTGGGCATATAGTTTCTTTTACTTGTATAAGTCCATAGACACATATTTCGCACAGGGCTTTGGGTCGAGGGATTTGTGTGTTGCTGGGCTACTGCGCTCCTGAATGAAGCATGTACAAGTACAACAGAACAGGGTAGGGTTTAGGGCTCTTAAATGCTGGTTCAGAGCCGAGGGGCTTCCCTTCTATGTCTGATGCAGGCGCAAGCGCAGGCTGCGGCACAGGCCTTGCAGTATGAAGTACTGCGCATTGCTAGGACGTTCTAGTAGGCAGATATTAGTGTTTGTGGGAAGGGCCTCTTGTGACTTCATTCTCTGCGTCACGACACCTTCGACCATGCCAACATCTGTTCGGTGCCGGAGCCCTGACGGCACGATGCCGGAGGCAGCGCCTCCCCTTGGGCAGGCGCCGCCCCCGCCCATGCAGGCAGAGTGCCCTTGGAGCTCATTGCAAGGGGTTCGAAAAGCGGCTTAGGAGCTGGTGTTGCAGGGTTTGCCATCCATGGCCTGAGAGAGCCAGACGCTTGACAAATCCAGTGCAAGACTGGTGCATGAGGCTTCGGGACATGATTCTGTAGTATGTTCACGCATTCTGTTGTAGTTATGATCGTAGGTTTTCGTGCATTCCTTCATAGCGCAATGCATTGCAATATAGTCTAGTGACTAGTGCTTTCTAGTATGTAAAAGTCGGGGGCAGCGGGTTCAATTTTGCGGAATTGCTATCATCAGAGCCTTACAGCCTCTGGACTCGAAGCCTTCAGACACACCTGAACCCTACAAGCCACGATCCAAAATCTGGATCCATGCCGCGATATGAACTCTAAACCATGAACCCTCAACCCTACACCCCTCAAGCCAGGAACCCTCAAGCGAAGAAAAACACCCTGCAATCAAAGCTGTGCCTCGCCAGGAGCCTCCCCCCGCGGCGCCTCCACCGCAGGCCTAGTCCAAACATTTTCAGAAAGTGTATTTAAACGATATTTGGGAGCGATACTCGTCCTTCTGCATCCTGAGATCACTCTTCTAGTTTCATGATTTTCCAGCTGGCCTTGTGTATCAGGCAGTGAGTATGATTAGGTTTGTCTGGTTTGGAAGTAGTTTGGCAGCAGGGTCATCGCTGAATTGGTGTAGGAGCATGTAGGAACCCATTTACAGGAACAGATAGTCAAACTCACAGAAGCCCCCAAACCCAAACTTCCTGAACCTTGAAACCCCGAAACTCTAAGCCCGGAAACCAAAGAATTGACCCCCAAATCCCCTTCATGTTTTCCTCTGCTTTTGGATCTCTTTTGAGCCCCGGCTGGAGGCAGCAGCTGCGCAGCCAAAGGCGAAGGCTCTTTCTGCTGACCTATGAAGCGAGTTCAGGGTTTGCACGGACATGCATCCAAGAGTGCACGTCGAAGGGTGTCGGTTGGGGGATGCAGGGGTGGAGAAATTCCCAGAGCTTGAGGGAATAGGGCACATGGGTTTTCTTTCGGCTTATGGCGATTTAGGGTGGAGGGTTTTAGAGTTTGGGATTTCTGCGTTTAGGAAAACAGGTACCCCAAAAGACCTCCAGTTGTGAGGCTATTCCCACCGGCCCGGCTGCAGGTGCGCTTTCGATGGAGGGTGAAGGGGATTAGGGTGGAGAGTCGTAGAGTTTAGGGTTTGGGTTGTAGAACTTGTTATGTTCAGGCCTGTTTTTTGGTGTGGGGTCCTACCTTAAGGAGGTAAAGAGAATCCCACGCTAAGAATTTGCAGTGCCCACCCCCACAGATTCCCACAGAAGCATTCCGCGGAGGGTTCGACAGAGAGCCTCCAAGAAATCCCGCAGAGCAACCCCCAGAGAGCCCACCCTCATGCCCAATCCCAGACTCCCTGAAGTGCCCAAATCGAACAGACTCCATCCCCAGAGAATCCATGGAGCACTTGATTTCAAATGACGTGCAATGCCCATCAAATGGCCTCAGTTCCGGGTGGGGAGGTTCGGGATAGGCAGTCTGACCTAAAGGGCATGTAGG